GCATATCACACTTGGCAGTGATTATCTCAGAAAGAAAATGGGAATAAAGGAATTACATTTTACTGTATTTAAGGCTTGAGTTTGTATGTGTAGTGATTAGAAGAAAATGATAGGTCCTACCTATGCTTAAGGAGAGGTACACCATGGCATGGCAGTCACGGGCCATTTTAGCATCTGCCGTGTCCACTGGTGTTGCTAGCCAGGATCTTTCTTACCTCTCATCCTATTAACCCAGATTACTGTCTGTTTTACTCCAAAACTTCTGAGATGAGATAGGATTCAGTGTTTCTGGGTATTGTTGACACAGCAGAGAATATACCTTAAAAGAAAAACAGTTTATAGGCACATACTTATAATCCCAGCACTCTGGAGGATGAGGCAGGAGGGTTGCGTGAGTCCCAGGACAGCCTGAGTTACATAGCAATACCCTCTCTTCTGAACCGAGCCTTCTTTCACAATGGTAGTGTGGCTCATGATGCCCCCCCCAGCTCTCCCAACTTGAAGAAATGGTATTTTATGGTATTAGCTTTAGGGTTCAGATTCTCTGTTGCTGCTGCCCTTCCCGCTCTAGTGATGACTGGGCATGCAAAGGCGGTGGCTGCCCTGAAGCTGCTCTGGAAGTGGCAGAGGATGGAGCTTGAGGAATGAGGGTGTAGCGGTGGGGGGTGGGGGCTGGGGGGTGGGGGGAGGGACACGGGGATCCCCCTCCCTCCTATCCTCCCATCTCATAGAGCGTCTGGCCCCTGGAGCCAGTGGTGTAGCCACCAGCCACCAGTAGGAGGGCAAGTAAAGGGCTGCTGGGGAAGGAGGGAGTGGAGCAGGGCCGGCTGGGCTGGGCCTTGGAGCTGAAGCCTAGAATGTCTCCTGATAACATGAAGAATACAAAAAAAGAAAGAAAACAACTGGGGGAAGACAGAATTAAGGTTTTATTTATTTAAATTTCAATTTATTTATTTGGTACAGGGTCTTGCTGCACAGCTTCGATTTGTACTGATCCTCCTGTTTCAGCCTCACCAGTGCTGGGATTATAGGCATGCACTACCACACGTATGCAGGGCCAGCACTGCATGCTGTACTGAGGATTGAACCAGGGTCCTTGTGCTTGCCAGTCAGACGCTTAGACTGCTGAGCTATCTTCCTGGCCCTAGGGTGGGTGGGTTCGTTCATTGGTTCCATCTGTCTATTTTACCTGCCTGTTTTTTTAATTTGTGTATTTGGTACAGGATCTTACTACACAGTTTGGACTGTAGTGATCCTCCTGTTTTCAGCCTTCTCAGTGCTTGGAATTACAGGCATGTGCCACAATGCCCAGTCTTGGTGCCCAGCTCAGCGTGACCAGGGGTGGGGCGGGCGTGACATGTGCCAGAGATTGAAACCCAGTACCCTGGCGCTTGCCTAAGCAGGCGCTTAGTCACTGAGCTATCTCGCAGGCCCTTAAGATTCTATTTATTTATTTATTTATTTATTTATTTATTTTGCAGAACTGGGGATTGAACTCAGACCCTTGTGCTTGCCAAGGAAGCACTTATTCCACTGAGCCATCTTCCCGGCCTCTAGGGTTCTATTTAGATGTGTTGATTTTAAGATCCCAAAATGGAATTGTCCCTGAATAGGAACCCCAGAAAAAGTATCTACTAGGTAAATTGAGCATGCCAGATTGTCAAGGCATTTATTAAAGTAGGTCTTAATATTCCCTAAATAGAGAGGTGCAGCGTTTATATGAGAAAAGGAGCAATGACAGAATCCAGGGTGACACCACTGTTTAAGAGGTAGCTCAAGGAAAACTAGCCTATGAAGGAGAGTGAAAGAGGAGCTGCTAAGAATTTGAGAAAATCAGAACAGTGTCATGGGGCAAAGAGCCAGTGAGCTTGAACGAAAGGTCTAGTAGGCCAAGCCACAGAAGGGCTCACAGAAGTAGGGACTAGGAAGTGCTATTGGATTTGGGCCTTTCATTGTGTATAGACTTTAAAAAGCAAGGGTATACCTTCATTGCAGATAAGGAGAAATAAAAGCTGCTTGATATGCTACCATTCCATCATAACTGTTTATTGCATTGTAATATTGAACTAAGGGCCCCCCTTTCAGTCTTTTATGTTTTATGTTTTAATTTTTTGGTATTGGGGATTGAACTCAGAACCTTGTGCTTGCCAGGCAAGTGCTTAAGTCACTGAGCTATCTCCCCAGCCTTTTATTTTATTGGTACTGGGAGTAGAACTTGTGACCTTGCATTTGCCAGGCAGGCACTGTGCCACTGAGCTATATATTCCCAGCCCTCAGGTGGATTTCCTTTTGGTGTTTTTTTTTTCTTTTTTTTGTTGAACTAAGGGGCCTGTTGCATGCTAGCCAAGTGCCCTATAATGCTGAAGACTAGCCATAGCCCCTACAATAACCATTTTTAAGTGTTTTTTTTTAACTTCTTATCCAAGTTTTTATTTTTATTATTTTTTTAAAATAAGGATTGAACCCAGGCCTTTTGCACTGAACTACATCTATGATTGGTTTTCAACTTTTTCTTTTTTGGAGGGCGTGTCAGGAATCAAACTTACAACCTTGTGCTTGTTAGGCACTGTGCCACTGAGCTATATTTCCAGCCCTCAACTTTTTATTTTTTAAGATGTCTTGCTAAATTGCTCAGGCTGGGCTCAAATGTGTGATCCTCCTGTCTCAGCCTCCTAGGGCGCTGGGATTACGTGAGTGCTTCACCATGCCTAGCTTTGATTTGCTGTTGGTTTCTTTTGTACCTAGCATCGAACTTAGGTCCTTGCACTTGCAAGGCAGGTGGTTTCTAAATGGGTTACCTTTGATGGAAATTGAATAGATGAAGATGTTCAGTCATGTGCCAGTCAGCAAATGGGGGAGAGTGGTTGATTGCAAAGTGTGTATAACAGCAAGTGATGGGTAACAGGAGATAGATTTTTCTCATTGAAAGGTTTTATGGAGTAGGAAGCTAAGAGAAGGTCTAGATAGTTGGGTCCTGAAGGTCCATAATAGGAGTAAGCAGCCTGGCAGCTGTGACCATATCAGGACGAGGAGGGCACGTTGTAAAGCAACAGGAGCACACAGGAGCGTGTGTGCATTGAGGCAGGTTCCACGGGGCTCTGTAGGAGAAAGCGGTTGGGAGGGCATTGAGGGGTGCGAGCCAGCAGGAAGCCGGGTGAGGGTTCGGGTTAGGAATGGTATACATGCGTGGGGGTGCGAAAAGAGAAAATTACTCTGGTGCGTAAACTGCCGAAATAGCCTTGGTTAGTTTATTCTGCTTTGCTTGGATTTTAACTAGCCCTAGCCCTAGCCCTAGATCTATTTTTTTTTAAACATTTATTTAGTGTGTGTTCCTGTGTGTGTGTGTGTGTGTGTGTGTGTGGCCGGCTCAGCCCACCAGGGGGCACGGCTGGCCGGCATGTGGTGCTGGGGGATTGAACCGCGGTCCCTGATGTTTTGCCAAGCTTGTTCCAAGTAGGTGCTTTAGACACTGAGCCATCTCTCCAGCCCCGCTAGATCTAATTTTAATTCTATCATTTTAGCTTCATTTTCCTGAGACCTGAAGATTGTTTTAATTTCTTTAAAATTACCTGTTTATCTTTTGAATATAAAAACAGTACATTTTCATTGTTTTTAAAAATAAGATTAATCAGGTAAGTAAAGCAAAGACGAATCCCATTACTCAGGGACATCATTTTGGTATCTATTCTTAAGACTTTTCCTCATTAAGCAAAAATATGTGTTTAATTTTTCAAGATTCATATATGACATTCTGCTTTTTAAAAAGTACCATTTAATAAATAACCTTTGTTGGAATCAGTAGATTGCTGCTATCATTTTTAATTATAGTAATCCATCATAGAACTGCACCATATTTATCTTAACAATCTATTGTTGGATTTTCTTTCTTCTCTTTTTTTTTTTTTTTGTGGTACTGGGGATAGAACCCAAGGTATTATGTATGCCAGGCCAAGTGCTTTGCTACTGAGCTACACTCCCAGCCCCTGTTGCTGAAGGTTTTTTTGTGGAATCAGGGATTAAATTTAGGCCCTTGTGCTTGCCAGGCAAGAGTTTATACTGAGCTATCTGCCTGGCCCCTGTTACTGAAGTTTTGAACATTTTTTTTCCCCAACTGTCTCCTGTCTCACCTTGCTGAGTATACACCACCGTGCCCAGCTATTTTCTGAATTTTTAATAATAAGACTAAAAAGAAAAACCTTAGCCAGTGGTGGCACATGCCTGTAATCCCAGCACTATGGAGGAAGGCTGAGGCAGAAAGATCGCCTGAGTTCCGTGCCAGACTGGGAGACATAGTGAGTTCAAGGCCAGCTGGAACTACGTAGTAAGACCCTGTCTTAACACCTTCTCCCTCAAAAGAGAGAAACCTTGCATATATGAAGTGGCATATTTATCTGATTATTCCCTTTGGATGAATTTCCAGTTTTCAGTGAAGTACACGTTCAGGTGTAATTTCTTTTTGTCTTTTTTTTCTCCTAATTTAATATCTGGCCATGAAATCCTTTTTGTGTTGCTGATTTTGAGACATTTTTAAACATATGCAATGAAGCCAGGTGTGGTAGTGCATGCCTATAATCCCAGCACTTGCCTGTAATCCCAGCACTCAGGAGGCTGGTGCAGGAGGATCATTGCAAGTTCGAGACCAGCCTGGGCTACAAAGTGAGCTCAAGGCCAGCCTGCACTGCAGAGTGAGACTCTGTCTCAAAAAATAAATATGTGCAATGAACATGTATAGTCAGTGGGGTAGACATGTATTATTTGTAGGTTAGCACCTTACCACTAGTTGTTTGATAAACCACATACTTAATAGATTCTTTACCCAAGATAGGCAAGCCAAAAACAATCTGCAGATGTCAAGATTAGCTTCTTTCGATTGTGCATTTAGGACTTATTTGAGCAGTGGAATTGTGATAATTATGAAAACTGTTAAAACTCTTAAGTCAGTGTTGTCTTCTGAAGGGATGGAAATGTGTAACACTATTTTTTTTATTGCCTTTTTTCAGGTGATTCATGGCAGGGGACGTGGAAGGATTCTGTTCCTCCATCCATGACACCAGTGTCTCTGCTGGGTTCAGAGCACTGTATGAGGAGGGACTGCTTCTTGATGTCACTCTGGTTATTGAAGATCATCAGTTCCAGGCCCATAAAGCACTTTTGGCCACCCAGAGTGATTACTTCAGAATTATGTTTACTGCCGACATGAGAGAACGAGATCAGGATAAAATTCACTTAAAAGGTCTAACTGCTACTGGCTTCAGCCACGTCCTTCAATTTATGTACTATGGAACTATAGAACTGAGTATGAATACTGTTCATGAGATTCTTCAGGCTGCCATGTATGTTCAACTTATAGAAGTGGTGAAGTTCTGCTGCTCTTTTCTGTTAGCGAAAATCTGCTTAGAAAATTGTGCAGAAATTATGAGACTCTTAGATGATTTTGGTGTAAACATCGAGGGAGTCAGGGAGAAGCTGGATGCCTTTCTCCTAGACAACTTTGTGCCACTCATGTCCAGGCCTGACTTCTTGTCCTATCTGAGCTTTGAGAAGCTCATGTCTTATTTGGATAATGATCATCTGAGCAGGTTCCCAGAGATAGAGCTGTACGAGGCTGTGCAGTCTTGGCTTCGGCATGACAGAAGACGCTGGAGACATACTGATACCATCATTCAGAACATCAGGTTTTGTTTGATGACCCCATCCAGTGTTTTTGAGAAGGTTAGTGCCTTTGAAAGCAGTAGACAGGCTATAGGACTGATTCAGTTAAGGCAGTATGTCTTTATGCATAAGATTGTGAGTCAGGAGCAAAAAAGGGAATGAGTAGCTTATAAGAACATCTTGCATACAAGAAGCCTGATTTTATTGTAGCTTGTGCATTTAGGTTTTTAAAAATACACTTTTGTGGGTCAAAGATGAACCAGGTAGGTAGAATAGTTTCATCTTCAAAGTACTTTTAAAGTTGAATCATAATTAATTATTTGATGCAAAATATTACAGATTTTCTTCAGCTTTTCTTTTAACAAAGTAATTAAATCTGAACTGGGTCAGCCTAACTATTTTTAAAAATTAAGTAATACATTCTGGAATTGGCATTGAGTTTTACAGTTCTGCCTGCTGTACAATAATACGGTTTCTTTTTTCTATAAAATGTAGTAAGAGCACAAAATAGCTCTTGAAAACCAGTAGTTTTTACCAGAGTAATTTTCTTCCCTTCTTTCACCTAGTTTTGTTTCTGTCTCTGTTTCACTGTGAATGCTAACTAAATTTAACCATGAAACCGTGTTATATGTCTAAAAACATCATCTTGGCATTTCTAAACAAGTAGACTATAAATCTTTTATCTACATTGACCAAACATCTCTGTACATTTTACCATATGAATAGTTCTGTCTTAAAAACAGTCACTCTTCAAAATTGCCTTGACCTTTTAATACATAAGCATTTTTCATTTTTATGTCAGACTCTCAGTTGTGATCCTTTCCTGCCTACAGGAGAGAGAGCAGTTTCAGTAATTGCTTAATTGGTTTGTAGTCACATGGTTACCTGTGGGGCTCTGTTTACCTCTTGTAGCTTTTGTTCTTTTAGAAACCATACAAAGCTTGGTCGATACTTTTCATGTTAAACAGTTCCTCAGCTTTAGTTACCAGATCTGATGATAAAAATGTATTTGCAAAGGAGGGTTGTTTATACCATTTGAAAAATAAATTTGTTGTGCCTTTGAGTAACTTAAAACATTCACCAGCTTGGCATATTTTTTTTCCCCATTTGAAATGCTGTGAAATATCATTTATTATACTTTCAGTAGGAAACTCAATTTTATGGGCTTTTTGTTTGTTTTGTTTTTTATGGGTTTTTATCTTTGTTCTCAGAATAGATTGATATGAAGAAATAATTTCAGTTAAGGAATATATTTCTTAATTTCCTTTTGTTCAGTGAGAAACAGTTCCACATCAACTATGTGAGCCATTTGTCTCTCATTTAATGTTTTTCCTTACTGTTGTTCTTATTGCTTTCTTTCCCGCTACTAAAACCCTTCCAACTGGATCTAGATAGAAGTATTTATGAAATAAAAAATGAAAGTTGCCCTCTGATGGGACAGTTTGATGGATAACTCATAGCAGTAAATGACTTGTGAGAGCTGAGCTGCAGAGTGTTTGTCTATTCTAATTAGCAGAGCAAGGTAGGCAGTAGTGACTGGCTAAAAGTTCAATACTATCAGGTAATCTTGTAAATTAGAGAAATTCTCAGTTGGACTTGCTGATGGATTCCTTTAGCATCTAAAGTGTAGGTTGCCAGCTATTAATGTCTTAGGAAAATTTAATAATTCAGTCACAGAGAGCTCTTTCAGTTTTTTGTTATTATAAAATAATTTTTTTTAGTTTACTTCAATAATACTGGTAAGATAAAGGGAAGAGATCCAATGATTCCTACCTTAACAGTATGTGGGATTTACTTTATCAAAGGAATCTGGCTTTCTAAGTGTTGAGAACCACTAAGTAAGTAGTTTAAGCCCTCTTTCTAGAAATAAAACTCCAGAAACCAAACGAATATGGAAAATACAGTTGGAAAATAGGAATTGAGGGTATTTTACATCATACAGTACTATTTTGAACTCCTTGAAAGTAAAACCTGGGGCTGGGGTGTAGCTTAGTGGTAGCGTGCTTACCTAGCATGCATGAGGACCTGGGTTTGATCCTTACAATTGGGAAAAAAAACAAAATAAGAGTTCATCTATTTGTCATGTACTAAACAAACTTCAGGTCTCAAAAAGGCCATTTTCACTTATGCATGGCCCTAGAGAGACAGATATAAAAGACATGTTGCCTCTCTGCTGGTCCTTTTTTTTTTAGTGACATCTACAAGAGGAAAAGTTGATTTGTGGTTTTAAAGGTATTTGGTGAAATTTAGGAAAATGGGATGTTATTAGTCCTTTACAAAAAACTGAAGTAGCAGAATGATCATGCATAAGCATAGCTGACAGCCCTGCCTTAACTTTTGTACTGAATACTTCGTGGGATCATCACCAGCTAACAAGGCTTTCAGATTTCCTGAGTTTCTTGGAGGCATTGATAATATTTATATGAACACTGTATATTCATACACACATTGTCCGTATAAATAACACATTTTGTATGTGTCTGTGAACACTGTAATATGTGTGTCTGCATGGACAGATGTATTTGACAGGTTGTGTACTAATTGTCCTACATAGAGATAAATGTCTATATGTTATCCCCACTTTATAGATAAGAAAACAGGCTCAGAAATGTTAGGAATCTTATTCCAGAACCAGTAGCACTGTCCAGACTGGAACCTGGCCAGCTCGTCTTGCTTCCCGGCCAAGAGGCTTCCTGTTACACCTCCTTGACTAGGGAGGGGACCCTAAAATGCAGAAAGCACGCTGTTGGCCAGTGATCCAGCTTGGGTTATTTAGACATTATAGAGTTGTGGAAGTTCTGATTGTTTGTGTGAATGAAGCTCACTGAGGGAGACAAGATTCTGGGGTTTTCACTGTATTGTCAAACAAGTCTGAAACTTTGAAGATCTTAGGCCTTCAACCCTGGGCACCATCACCAGCCCTTTTTAACTTTTTTTATTTTGAGACAGTCTCCATAAATTGCCCAAGCTGGCTAGAACTCGTGCTTTTCCTCCTTAAACTTAGAGAATGCTGTGATCTCAGGAATGTGTTGCGGCACTTGCCTCCCAGTCTTAAAACTTGACTTCAATTTCTGCTTTTGCTTGTGCAGATATCTGTGGCATGTATTTCATTAGCTCTGGTGGTCTTTGCATATGTTAACTGAGATAAGGCCTGACATTTGTTATTCTGAATTTCAATGATGGCTTAAATGGTTTAAACTGTGCTCTATTTGGCCTTTCAGGTTTTTTGGTTTTTTTTTTTCTAGAACTGGGAATTGAACTCAGGCTCTTGCGCTTGCCAGGGAAGCACTTATTCTACTGAGCCATCTTTTCAGTTTTTGAAAAGCAGTTATTAGTTTATTGAAGGCATTTTATGAGGTAAAATACACATTTTTCTGTACATGAAAGATCTAATTTTTTTGTAACGATCTAATTTTCAGCACAGTTTTTAAGTTACTGATTAAAATACCCTTGTGTTATTTATTTATTTTTTGGAGACAGGGTCTCACTGTAGTTCAGGCTGGCCTTGAGTTCACTATGTAGCCCAGGCTGGCCTCAAAGTCATTTATTGGCTGCCCTCCTGCTTCAGCCTCCTGAGTGGCGGAGTTACAGGCATGTGTTATCACACCCAGCACTTGTGTGATTTTTTTTTTTTTTTTACCAGTACCAGGGATTGAACTGAGGACCTTGCGCTTGCCAGGCAGGCACTTAGGCCGCTGAGCTATATCCTCGGCCTGATGTTTTTTTTTTTTTGTAGTACAATCACATTGCAACTTTTTTTTAATCCAGTGCATCTTCAGTGCCATAAATATGCATAAGATAAAGACAGCATACTAATGATTCTCTTTGAAATTATATTAATATGTAAATTAACTTTAAAATCATAAACATAAAGTCTTAATTTCCAACAGAAAAACTCTATTTGAAATCCTATAAAGAGAAAGCATATTAGTTCAGCTTTTTATTTAGGATTTTATGGTTATTTTTTATTGGCTATTTTATTAAGGAAATAGATTATATAGATATATTTTGCTTTAAGTAAACCCATCATGCTTATTCTGAATATTTTGTTTTGTAAACTAGTTCATAATATTGAGACTCCACAGTGTGCTTTTTTCTTAATCTGTTAAAATATAATTTAGTGTATGCAATCATCTCAAAATTGGATTTATACAATATAAAGTTATTTTGAAAATTTAGGGGTACTCTGGTTTCTCTTCAGATTGTGTAATCTCTTGCCTTTCAAAGATTTGGGAGAGGTACTGGATATTGAACCCAGGCCCTTGAGTATGCAAGGCATATGCTTTCCATGGAGGTACCAGCAGCCCCTATAACTTTTTTTTTTTGAGACGGGCTCTTGCCATGTGGCCCAGGCTGGCCTTGAACTCACTTGCTTCAGCCTCCCAAGTGTTGGGATTACAGGCATGAACCATGACACCTAAGAAGCTGCTATAACTTTTTTTTTAAAGACAATTTTTTATTCACGAACACATTAAAACATTCTGAACAAAATATTAGCAAACAAATCATGTACTATATAAAACCAAAAAGACAATGGCCAAATTGTGTTTATACCAGAAATGCAGAGTTGCTCTATGTATGAGGAAAACACATAAATCATTTACCACATTGCTATAACTTTTTTAAAAATTTTGTTTACTTATTTTTTTTGGTGAAACTGGGGATTGAACTCAGGCCCTTGCACTTGCCAGGCAGGTACTTATTCTACTGAGCTATCTCCCTGGCCCTTCGCTGTAACTTTTATAAGCAAAATTAAACTAGGTGTGGTGCCTCAGTTTGTAATCCCAGTGTCCCATCTGAGAGGTTGAGGCAGGAGCATTGTAAATTCTAGCCTGAGGCAACTTAGTGAGACCCTGTCTCAAAATGAAAAATTATGAGCCGGCCAGATAGCTCAGCAGATTAAATCACCTGCAGGCAGGCGCAGGGACTGGGGTTCAGTCCGCAGGCCTGCTGTGCCTGGGGCACCCTGAGACAGTGATTGAGACTGGTTGTGGTGGTGTGCACCTGTAATCCCAGCTCTTGGGAGGCTGTAAATAGTTGGATCACTATGAGGCCGATTT